AAAATTCATCAATAATAGAATCTACATCTTATTATTGGTAAAATCTCGTTCAATGTATATCATCAATCAATCTTCAATAAAATCATCTCCCATTTTGTTACGAAGTGCCATCTTCACATGCTTCATTACTGAAAATGCTCTTTCCATAGTAGCAGTAGAAACAAGTAGGGTCAAAACATGACGAATTAATCTCGTCAGCATATCATAAATTTCCGATTTCCCACTCTTCGTCAAATGTTGACATATATAACTCAACAAGTGTCAAAACTTGAGATGTTGAAACAATATCATGCTTTTAGTGGATCAACTCAAACTCAAGTGAGACAATGTCTTGATAAGTGAAATCTGTGGGATAAAATTTTTGGGCAAGTTTACAAATATCCCCATTGTTAAATGAGCTGAAGGAATTCTTGGGATCCAAAGCAAGACTAAGTTGAAGAAGTTCCATGCATGTATCATTAAAGCACGTGCCTAACTTAGTCAAAGTAAAATCAATCGCTTCATTGAAGACATCAAAATGATAATGATGTTCTATTGTAGGTTGGAAACGATAATGCCCAATCTTATATGAATCACCCAAATTTGGAACATCAATATCATTTGAATAACAAAAACTCTTAAATTCTTTAAGAAATTCCTCCCAACCAGATGCTCTGAATTCTGAAAGGATAATTTTAGTAGTACCAACAAATGTTATTGCATCCAAAATACCAAGAGTTTTTTTAGTAGTCGCAAAAGCTTTCACTAGTTCAATGAAATTTCCCCGATTTGATGATGTTACAGATTCATCATGACCTCTAAAGGCACAACCTTGAAGTGCTAACCATCGAACAGTTATAATAGAAGTTCTCAATCGCAAACGATTTTTCTCCTTTTCTTGTTACGATTAGGCAAGCAAAACATTCTTAATATGGCCAGATGGTTGCCTCAAATTTTCAGCTCTTTAACCACACATCATATGAGGTGATTTTTCTGAAATACCAATGTGCTGAAAAACTGCACATTTACTTCGTTGATTTATCCTCTTCCAACTTTGAAATCCTTCATTAACTAATGCAGAAGTAGTATGCATATTAATGTCACTCAAGAAAAGGAAGCAGAAAAAACAGTAAGCTTTTTCAGTCACAGGTGAGTACTGTAACCAATTAAACTTATCAAACCAGTGTTTCTGAAAACTTCGGTTTTGAGCTCCAAACTTTTTAACCGAATAAGCTTCCATTCTCGATTGATAAGGCCCAACATTTAGATATGCACGTCTCACTTCATCTCGCACATCGACATGATATTCATGAATTTGCTTTCTTTTTCCCGGATGCCTCTCAATGAAAAAGATGTAGGCGACTCCAAATTTGAGATAGTTTGGATTTTAGGGATTTGGGCATGTGGAGTAACCACATTGAGTAGATCTTGGCATCTTGTACTATCGTAGGTATAGGTTCAGAACTCCCTTCACCAGTTTGACGATTCACTTTCGGAAAGAATGATGAAATCTACTTCTTTCCTTTCTTGTCAACATGTTCATTATTCATTTAAAAACATTTTCAATATTGGTATAAAGTAATATACTTATATAAAAATATAACTAATAAGGAAAAAATAATCGGTGTACATAAAACTAATAAAAATACTCAATTGTCAATGGTATAATAAGTAATAACTAAATCATTTTCTACTCTTGAATTCTATTTTTAATCATGATAATTTTTAATGAACTAAACACTATTTAATTATGTACTGAAAAATTCAATTAATAATCAAAATTACTCCCTAACCCTAAAACTCTGAAATGCTAAAAATAATAATACATTAATACACAATCACGACATAAGTGCACAACACATTCACAAATAACAATTCAACACCATGTCAATCAAAATAATATATTGAAAATCTCAAAAAGAATTACAAATAGAGATTTAGAGTTTACCGAGTCAAGGGAGGCAGAGGGCCAGAAGAGTCGTGGACTGCGGACTGCCGGATTCCAGAGAAGAAGGGCGGACGACGTCGGCGACGGAGCTGCTGTTCACGTCTTCGTCGCACACTTGCACGGGTCGCAATTTCCAGTACATCATCATTCTTCACTTCTTTTGCCTTCGTTAGTTCGCGTAAGGCTAAAGGTCGTAACTCGTAAGTGCGTAAGTCATAGATGAGGTAAGTGTTGGGCTGATATTGTGGGTTGGGCTAGGAATTAACTTTGGGGTGGGCTGAGAATTAGTTTTGCAAAATTAACATTGGGATGAGCTGAGAATTTAACATATACCTATACTAACAAAAAAATTGAGCTGGGCTGAAGCCCACCCGAGGCCTAACTACCATCCACCCCTGAAGCCCATACTGTATCCTAATTAGTGTCTTACAGTGACACCAAATTAGTGTCACTGAAAGTTTCTGTGACACTAAAAAAGTGTCGCTGAAAGTGGGGGCTAGTGACACTACAAGTGACACTTTTTAAGTGTCACTACAAGTGTCACAGAATTGTGACACTACGATATCACAATATAGTGACACATTAGTGACATAGCTGTTCGGCTACACTTTTACATCATATGCTCTAGTGACACTAAAGTATCACTAAATAGTGATACCTTGGCGACATAGTTATTCGACGACACTTTTACATCACATATTCTAGTGACATTGCAGTATTTAAAAAATCCATTTCAATTATATTTTAAAAATTCCAATTCAATATTAACTAATCCCATAAATGATGATAAAGTCAATAAATCTCAAAACATGGATTCAACGTTTAAAGCATTATATTCATTTGAAGCTCAAGTCTACATTGTTGTTGAGGTTTGTATATATTCTAAGGTATGCAAACCCAGAAAATGTTCTGCTGGAAAAAACATGACAAAAAGTCCAACATTCAACACCAAAGTGAGCCGCCTACACGTCCTACATACATATAGCAAAATTAATCGAACAATGTTGACAACAATATGTAAGTATAGAATGCCTTCACACATCATCAAGTCGATCTTCATAGCAACATCATTCCCCCTTCTGTTCAAGACAAAACACTTCTTCCACTTCGAGAGAACAACCCTGAGGATTATTTTTCAGATTTCAGATATACTTTTTCTCGCCTCAATATGGAGGAAACCAAAAAGAATCATAGAGTAATTTCAACACCACACTATGTTATTTTTCTGATCATTTACAAGCAGAATATCATGCATGAATTTTGGTTGCACCACTTAAAAACAATGCATACAATGTCCAGCTTGTGAAATCAATATGCAAGGCAGAAATGGAAAAATATACCTCAACAATAGAAGGTGAAGAATTTTTTGCCATTTGATAAACCCAGTATTTAACAATCAAACAACCATAACAAGAAGAATAAGCAGATAGAAAGATATCGAGAAGATTAAAACCGAATCTGGTATACCGTATAAACCCCGCTGCTCTCCCTCAAGAAGGAGAGCAGCGGAAACCCTTCTCTCTTTCTCGCCTCTACGCACTCTAAGCCTATTTTTTCAATTGTTACTGTTCCCGTAAGTTAGCTTCCTTTTATAGGAGAAGTTGGCTAACTTACGGGTTACAAGGAAGCTAATGGGCTGATACACATTTGTGACCCATATTACACATCTAAATGTTAACTACACAAATACACACAATTACAAAGATATTTAATCTAGATTGGACACCATAAAATATTCCTAACAATCTCCCCCTTGGTGTTCAATCTTGTTAACTCAGCATTGCAGCGCGAATATCTTTGTTTGTGAACTTCAGTGTAGCTCAGCTTCTTTGTCTTTGAACTCGACTTCTTGGAAGGGCATTCTGAAGAAATCCTTGCAATCTCCCCTTTGATGTCTTCTTGAAAATTTGATCTTTGATGCCTGGGTTAAGGAATCTTCAATATCTTGCATGTAGTCCATGCCTTCCAGAAGTTGCTCTTGATCAGCTTGAATGAGGTCCGGTGGCGCCTCTAGAATGAATGTTCTTATGATTTCCAGACGCGCACGGGATTCATCTGTCGTACGAGAGTATCTGACCTTTGTCTCCTCCACAATGTAGTCTTTTTGACTATTTGGAATGAATGCATTTGAGGAGAACTTATCGGTGACACAACGGAACATAATGATTGTTGATTTGTGAGTGTAGCTGACCATTTGATTTGAGTTGTAGAGATAGCAGAGAAGGTATTGATTTTTGTGTTGGAGGAGTGAAGTGTCCCAGAATGATTTTTGATTCATGTTATCAGCATGTGGGTCACTCTCCCCCTCATGACGATCCGATGAATCGGGGCGTCATGCCTTTATTCTTTTATTCTGCGGAAATAAAACAGGAAAAACAAGCAGAATGATAAAATGATAAAAGCCCCCCGGGGTCGTGTAGACACCCGTTTTCATCACTATAGAGATAAACTCTAAAGCAATGGCCTGAAAATGTTGGTGATTCTTATGTTGCAACAGCATGACTTCCTTCCAATCATTAGTCTACATCTGCAATAGATGAGACCTATGGAAGTTCTCGCGGGTCTTTGAAGACCTGCAACTGACTCAAAACATTTGGTTTCGGTGTCCTAGAAAATTCAAAACATTTGGGAGTGAGGTAACTAGACACGACGTGATCAATGAAAGTTCAGTGGCATGGGGCTGAGGCCACTGTCAGTGGCGGAACCAGGACACGTGACTCGCAGGGGCACAATTAACAAAGAAATGATATAGTAGTCTAGAAAAAAAATCATAGGCATCACGAATATAGCAATAAACAAAACTATAAAATTAAAATAAAACAACTACTTAAAGAGTACCTTAATTTTGATTAGAACCTGACGCGGCAAATGAAGGACAATCATTGAGAGGCGGCAATCTTTGTCTTCAAGGTGTCATACTCTGAAATCGCCTCATTATGACTTCATTCTCAATTTTAACAAATACATCTTTCTCAATGTAACACACCAAGCAATCTGTCAAGTATTCTTCTCCAATCTTGTTGCGCAAATCATTCTTGATAAACTTCATCGTCGAGAAAGATCTTTAACCTGTGGCGGTTGTAACGGGTAAAACCAATGCCAATTGGATGAGTCGGTACACTAACTTATAAGTTGTGTGCCACTCTGTTTCAACCAATGTTTTTGCCAAATCTCCAATACTTTGTAGGCCTGAAAATCGTGGAGATGATTTGACAAATGTAATGAACATCCTAAGTTGTTCATTTAGTTCAAATTTTTCTCTTGAACTAAAATCATCTGGGTATAGATTAGCAAGACGAAGTAGTCGCTTCACATCAAAATTGGAGAATGAGTCTTTGGGACTTAACGATGCTATGCACATTAGTAGCTCTGAACTTGACTCGGTAAAGCGATTATTCATCTCTTGAATAAGACGATCAATAACCTAACATTATATTAAAAAACGTAATTAATTACAATAACAAAATAAATAAATTTAAATACAATTACGTAAGGAATAAAACTTTTAAAAGTACCTCGAGAAAAATGTCAACATGAAAATAGTGATAATAAGTTTTCGGACTACCATCAATTGTCTTCTGCCTTTTCACTCGTCCTGGCTTTACATCCATCATATTAGGTACATCAATATCATGTTTTGAACAAAATGTAGCCACTTCTTCAATCAACAAATCCCAACCATAATCATTCCTATATTTCTCCAAATCGGTTTTGACGGTCTTGACAAGATCCACAACATTGCCTATGTTTTGATTTTTTTGTTGCAATTCCTTTGATAGCACATTAGTTTTTCCCAATAATTGTAACATGAAATGCGCAATGAACACAAAATCATAGGATGCCATTTTTTCAATCAAACTAGAAGAAGTGGACTTACTTTTGAGATCAACACCATCATCAAATATAGCTTCAAGCACCTAAATGACCGCATCCCACATATCAACAACTCTAATGATTGTTTTATAATGGGAACCCCAACGAGTATCACCCGGTCGTGCTAGACTTTTTTCTTGATTTTTCCCCTTCTCCGTGCTAACCTCACCACGTTCTATACGGGCTACAAGATCCTCATAATGCTTTTGTAAAAGATCATCTTTTCTCTTACATGATGCACCAACCACATTTACAATCATGATGAGATGATCAAAAAAACTACCAACTATTCCATTGCTCTTCAAAGAGGACACAATCACTAATTGAAGGCGATGAGCAAAACAATGAACATAATGTGCTTGCTTATTTTCCTCCAAATTTTTTTTAAGCCATTAATTGCACCACTCATATTGGAAGCCCCATCATAACCTTGGCCCCGAACCTTAGACATCGAAAGACCATATTTTGTAAAAAAATCATCAATGGCATTTTTCAATGTCTGCGCACAAGTGTTACTAACATGCACCACTCCCAAAAATCGCTCAATTACCTCCCCACAATTGTTAACAAACCTTAAAACCACAGACATTTGCTCTTTTATGGAACTATCTCGAGCCTCATCAATCAACAAAGAGAAAAAATTGCTACCAACCTCATTAATAATAGCTAGTCTTACCTCAGTTGCACAATCATTAATAACGTCCTTTTGAATTTTAGGAGAGGTTAGTTGACTATTCCCGGGAGCATTTGACTTCATTACCATATCAATATGTGGATGCCGTCTACACTCCCATTTCAAGAGTTCAAGAAAATTACCTGTAAATACAAATAATGCAATTATGCAAACATGCAATAGTCATTAGAATTTTATAATGAAATAAGTAATAAAAAATAATGGAAATGATCTAATAAAATTTACCAGAATGCGTAGAAGTAGCTGATTCATCATGACCTCGAAAAGCCAAACCACCCTCTAAAAGGAATCGAACTACATCAACAATAGTTGTTAATCTTGCACGGTACTCAAGCTCATCTTTTATGGTTTGTTGTGAATATACATAATCCACATTTTGCTTTTGGTTTTGAAACCCGGACCATTTAATTTTTGCATAATGATGCATGCTTTCTAGACTTCCTTCGTGGTCACGGAATTTTTCCTTAGCTTTCTTCCAGTTATTAAACCCAACTTCAGTAAAAGCATCATCTCCATTTTTATGATGTCTACCAAACAAATAACACAAATGGCAAAATGCTGCATCTTTAGCAACACTATACTCCAACCAATTAAATTCATCAAACCACTGTTTTTGGAATGATCTGTTGCGCCCATTAAAATCACTTTGTGGAAATTTAAAGTCACGCGGTTGGCAAGGACCTTTTGTCAAATAACGTCTCCTCAACTCATCTCTAATATTAACATCATAAGTCTCAATCGGCTTACGCAATCCAGGATCACCAACAATGTCATCATCCGACAATTCAATCTCTATTCGAGCTTTTTTAACATTACTCTCATTGTTAGGAATGACATTTTCCGATGAAGAAATTAAATTATTCGATGAAGAACCACCAATGATAGGCTGTTTCGGTTTCGGCGGAATTGCCGAAAAATATCGTAACATAGCCATTGTTTGTAACACAACCTAGACCAACTACAATTGAAATTTGAAATAATATGAGTATAATTTTTCAAAATTGAACAATTAAAGTATTCAACATTTAAACCATAAGTGATAAGTCACACAACATATATGAATCAATGATTCAATAAAACATAAATCATTCATCAACAACACAACAAATCAACAATTAAAAACAAATTAAAACATACCTTCGGCCTTCGGGATTCGGCAATCGGCACTGGCCGCACTGCGTGACTCACGGGCGGACCGGGCGGTGGTCGGTGGAATTCCTGGCGTGGCCGGCTGGCCGCGTGGCGGACTGGCGGCGTGGATGGAGGAAGTTCATGGCGGATGGCGTGGATGGAGGAAGTTCCTGGCGTGGGCGTGGGCCAGCGGTGGGCGCAGGCGCGCAGCTTGAGTCGCCGGGTCGGGAAAGCCGGAAAGGCCAAAAGGGGGGAGGGATTGGCCGATTGGGGGAAGCGGGGAAGTGGGAAGACTGGGATTCTGGGAACTGCCGATTGCCGAACAATTTGGGAAAGGGGGCCAGGGGGGAACGGGAATGGGAAAGGGCCGGTGAACGGGAAAAGGGGATTTGGGCCGCAGGAAAAGGGGAAGGGGAATTGGGATTGGGCTTGGGCTGCAGGGGCCCAAGTTAAAAAAAATTAATAATATATATATATATATTTAAAAAAAAATCACTGGGGGGCCGGGGCACCCCCTAGCCCTAGGGTGGGTCCGCCCCTGGCCACTGTAGTCAGTATTACTTGCCTCGTAAGGAGGTAGTAATGAGAGATGTGGTTCCCTGTGAAATATGATTAAACACCTGTCTGTTGGGAGACAAGTGAGTCGTCTTGGATAGGGTTCAACATGCACTGTTGGACAAGATGCAGTGACTTCTACCCGGGATCTGATTAAATCAGCCCTGAACCTATGGGGATTGTCCAGAGTATATGAGTGGCTAGGAGTAAATGTTCAATTCATAGTAGGCAATTGAGGTAGCAGACTCATCATTGATTATTGTATTCACTCACTTACTCACGCTCTGCTTAGTCCCTTGGGTAGCCTTAGTTGGGTTTACTAAGCCATAGGGACATGTTCTCTCATTACTTTCTTGATTGTCTCTCTGTACTCCCCCTCAACTGGAGCACTCGGTATGCTTTGTCGTTGTTAGGCGTCGGGGAGGTGATCATTGAAAACTCCCCCTAAAATGTTGCATCCTTTGAGAGATTCCTTACTTTGTCGGTGAATGGTGCCAGGAGGAATTAACTGAAACTCCCCCTCAGAATGTGAAAGGTTTGATTGCTCACAGCTTGTCATCCTCGCCATGTGTGTGGAGCAATCTGAACAAGTACCACACATGACGGTTTCCCTGAGCTCATCATGTAGAATTTCAGCATATTGATGATCACATAATGTTGATGAGTCAGAGGAGACTTCAGTGGTTGATTGTTGATTGTTGTAAGATGACCGTTGACGCGAGGTTGATTGAGTTATCTACAACTTTCGGACCTTTACAGTTAGGTTTAGAAAATGTTTGACCTCAGGATTGACTTTGAAAGAATTTGAACAAAATTGCCTAAGTTTTGACCTGGACATCGGTGATTTACAATGTTTGTCGGAAAGCAAACATTTTGACCCTCAAGGACTGCGAGTGAGGGCGCGTGACAAAGGGTTCTGTGGCGTAGCCCGAGAATTTATGTAGATCCTTTCATTATCTTTCCAACAAAAATAAGTTTGCTCAAATCGGATCACCGAGTTTTATTGCCAAAACAGTGCGGACATGCAAAAACTTTGAATTTTGAGATTTTGAGGAAATTTTTCGAAGTTGAGGTTCTCGATCTGGAATATCGAGATCAGGTGCATTTTAAAGAAAATTCTTAGGTAAATCCTCGAAATCCTAATCTCGAGGTTTAAAACTCGAGATTACAATCTCGAGGTTTAAACTTCGAGATTACAATCTCGAGGTTTAAACTTCGAGATTACAATCTCGATGTTTAAACTTCGAGATTACAATCTCGAGGTTTAAACTTCGAGATTACAATCTCGAGGTTTAAACTTCGAGATTACAATCTCGAGGTTTAAACTTCGAGATTACAATCTCGAGGTTTAAACGTCGAGATTACAATCTCGAGGTTTAAACGTCGAGATTACAATCTCGAGGTTTAAACGTCGAGATTACAATCTCGAGGTTTAAACGTCGAGATTACAATCTCGAGGTTTAAACGTCGAGATTACAATCTCGAGGTTTAAACGTCGAGATTACAATCTCGAGGTTTAAACGTCGAGATTACAATCTCGAGGTTTAAATCTCGAGATTAAAATCTCGATGTTTAAATCTCGAGATTACAAAAACTCATTTAATAGTGTCACATTTCTTAGCTCATATAATAACTCATTTAGTTGTCACATATAGCTCAAAGAATTTCAGAATTCAGACCAGTTGGGTTAATATTTAATTTATTCAAAGAAAAAGTTGGCTAAATTCTTCAAGATACTGTCAAGCATTTTATCAAACACCTAATCTACAAAATATGAATTTTAGGTCATGATATACAAAATAAATACCTGGAAATGACAGTTCAGGAGGCTGTATTCACGCTCCGGTGGAGACCTGCTCGCGGTTGCTCTGCCTGCGGCTTGCTCCCTTGACGGCCTGCTACGCTCACGGCCTGGTCTGCTCTGCACTGGCGCCGCTTGCTGACAGCGTTGCTCGCTTACAGTGCCATCTTTGTCGCTCTCTGACAGCGTCGCCTGCGCCGCTCAATGACCGACTCGCTCGCCAACATCGCTCACAAAGACGATGCGACTTCAATTCAGCCCTAACAATGGCTTTGGTCCGTTGATAGACTATCGGCCGTGGGGTGTTTGGCATATATAGGCTCTTTCGATAATCGTCGAATGGAGAGCTAGCAAGGAGATTGATGTTGCCGGGCCAAGAAATTGCGCTTGCTGAAAAAGAGTTTTAGGGTTGGCAGTATTCGATGAAAGAGTATGGTTAAGGCGTAAATTTAGTTGAGGAGAGAGGAGTTGAAGTGTTAGAAAATGATATCCAAAGCCCGGTCCAGTTGGAAGATTATGTAAGTGTCACTATGCAATACTCACGTATTTATGTTAGAAAATAGTGACACTTTTGTGTTACTAATGTCATTTTATAAAAAAGTGTCACTAAAATAGTGTCACTGTAAACTTGTTTTCTACTAGTGCTAGTCAAGTACTCATGCTACACAGATCATGAATTGTCTTTTCTTTCGGATCATACAATGAGTGAATGATTTTTTAATGATGGCATCCCTATATTG